TCTTTCCACTTCATGACAGCAGAAAATGGTATCCTGAGAAAGCACAATGAATCCCATTCTTGGAGGTCAGCATCAGCCATACTGATGACAGAGAAAAACATTCTTTTATGTCTCTATGATAAATTTTAGATAAGACTTTCATTCATTCATTCATTTTCTATGGTTTATCAACCTTTTGCAGGTTATTTAAAGCCAGAAAATATTTTTAGATTCTAAGGGAGTTCTACAAGTGAGAAGTGAGAGAAAAGAAACTGTTAGTATAGCATTCACGGTTACATCTAGCCAACTCAACCTTAAACGGATCAGATCTTGGCGTCAGTCTCGTACTGCGTTAAAATTTAAAAGTCTAGGTACAATAGCAAAGAGCGATATTTATTTGTAAAATACAAAATGTGAGTTCTGTGCTATATGTGATTCACTCTTAGGCGATCATGTATCTTTCGATACATGACCGACGAGGCAGATTTTTTTCCGCAGTAGGTTGTCATTTCTTTCTGCGGTAGACCAGTTGCTGTTCAAGGCTGTAGAACCCGGCCTGTTCTGCTATTTACCCATGGCTGTGGGGAGGAAAAGAGGATTCATACCTTTCCCAAGGGTATAAGCACGTAAGTGAATTTTAGTCAGTTCATGTGCCATGCAGGATACACGTTTAGGCGATCATGTATCTTTCGATACATGACTGACGAGGCAGATTTTTTTTCGGCAGTAGGTTGCCATTTCTTTCTGCGGTAGACCAGTTGACATCCAAGGCTGTCCTGCTATTTACCCATAGCTGGTGGGGGGGAAGAAGAGGATTCATACCTTTCCCAAGGGTATTAGCACGTCAATGAATGTAATGGATTCGACTGGAATTCGAAATCGACTCCCCGATTCCTCAATCCGTGCCTCAATTCAGTTATGTGCCGCACGTGATAAACGCTTACGCGATCATGTATCTTTCAATACATGACTGCCGAGGTAGATTTTTCCCGCAGTAGGTTGCCATTTCTTAGACCAGTTGCCATCCAAGGCTATGGAACCCGGTCTGTCCTGCTATTTACTCATAGCTGGGGGCGGTGGGGGTGATGAAGAGGATTTATACCTTTCCCAAGGTTATTATTAACACGTAAGTGAATGTAATGGATTCGACTAGAATTCGAACTCGGTTCTCCAATTCCTCAATCCGAGCCGCTAGCCATTAGTCCACCACACAAGCCCAAAAGACGGAATGGGTAAAAGGACTGTCTTCTTCTGTCTTAACTTTAAACATAACTAGACACAAACACTGATCCAAACATACCACAATATTCCTAACACCAAAAGAACGCATTCATACTTACCTTTATTACATTCACCATAATACCTCATTGTCTCTATGAAAATCTTAACTAGTCCCCATATATAAAATTCATTGTTTGGTGGGGGAGGGATAATTTAAAATCAATTAAACAATTTAAAAATCTCGTCCCAATGAATATTTACAAAAATAAACAAGGCTATTTACAAGAAATTAAACAAAATTCCATAGTGAAAAGCTCATTCGAACAATTACCTTGAAAGTATTTATTGAAGACACAAGGAGGCAACCTTATCGCGGTGGAAAAGTGACTGAAGCCAAGCCACCAGATCAGGACCAATAATATTGCTGATTCTTCTTTGGATTTTATCAAGAAGCTCAACGTAAATAACAGGGGCAACGGACTTATATGTAGCAGCAACATTCTAAGCATGGACGTATGGTAGACTTATAGATATGTAAGACAGATTCTGCAGAGAAAAATTATCTCACCCGACGCAGTGAACCAACTTTCTTTGCAGTTTTGAGTATTCTTTTATGAAGGAAGACGCGATTGTTTTTTTTTTGTTTTTTTTAGATGGGTTAAGATATTAGACAGCCAAGGGAATTACCTTGAGAGATGAATAACGATCTAAAAATTGATATGCTTAATAGAGTTATTCGAAAAATACTGGGAACTTTTGCCCCGCAAAAGGGAGATCGGGAGTCGTTGTCATCTGCCACAAATAGTATTTTTTTTCGCTGTGGGTCCAAGTGCGTAATTGGTGACTAGAAGTGGTACCATGACCTTTCTCCTCTCCATATAATATATATCAGGCTGATATCAAAGTGTTGTATCTGTTCTTATTCTCTCGTCACATCTATGTTCACTTCTTTCTTCCTTTCATTTTCACACTGAAACCATGCAATGCCTTTTCCCCTCTTTTCACGTGATCAAAACGAAATAGTCCATTATTTAAAACGTAGTGGCACGGCGTAACGGCCGTGCGAACTAACGAAGAGAAAGGCAAGCACAATAATAATAGAATGATTGTTATTGCCATATTTTGTTACTGTGGCGATAGGAGAATTCCTATGGATATTTTATTGTCGTAGAACTCGCCACGATCTTATTCAATTGTTAACGGAAGAATTAAGACTTGTCAGAAAGTTAAGACAGGAAAACCGTGATTTTTTTACGGGTTGAAACTAGTATACAGAGTGTTTATAAAGTCTCTTTATATTAAAAAAAAAATACTGTAAAAGCAAATGAACAGACAGATATGTGGAAATTGTTACAAAATGAAGAGTAGATATTGAAGCTTCTTTTTAACTAATTTAATGCACCTCTATGTGGGCAGCATTAGTTGCCCGAAGCACATCAAGACGACACAAGATTTTCACGATCGATATGTTCCTCAGATGCTCTTGGTCGTCTACATCTCCCTTTATTTAATAGTTTTCTTGGCTCCATAAATTCCTTGTGCCATGCACGAATTCACGAGCGTGATGTTGGATTTCTTCCATACTTAGTTCTGTGGTTTCGCTCAGTCATCGCATCCGATTTCGTTTCAATAAATTATGGCACACAATGTGTTTTTTCTTGAGGAGTAGCCATTTCTTGAGGAGTAGCCATTTCTTGAGGAGTAGCCATTTTTAACCAATTTAACAGTACCTCTTTCCCTTCCTATCACTTGCTTCTCTGATAGCTATAATCTACAAATATTCAAATGTAATGTCAATGGACATCTTCTCATGGCTTGACCTCGATCCCTTTCTTTCTCTTTTTCCTAAGAACTCCTCTTTACTCTTACTCTCAATCCTCTGCAACCCCTTTGCGTGCTAGTGGCACTCCCGCTTTGCTTGGAGCGATTTGCTTTTTATTTTATTTTTTTAATTATTACTAAAACAAATGAACAGACAAATATACCAAAATTATTACAAAATGAGGAGTAGATATTGAAGTTTATTTAATTAATTTAATGCACGTCTATATGGACATCATTATTTGCACGAAGTACATCAAGACGGTTCTCGATTTCTTGCCATGTTCGTTGTAGCATAGCCTCATTAATGGTGGCAATGGCATCAGTGATCATTTGCTTTAGATCAGGAATGTCACGTATATTTGTTCGATACACGATATCTTTAATATAACCCCATAAAAAGGAGTCCAGTGGAGTGACATCTAGTGAACGACGTGGCCAAGGAATTTGGCCATCCCATCCAATCCAGCGGCCTGGAAATGTTAGGGGTTCATTTAACAGTAACTCTTTCATCAACATGATCCCTGTAATACACAAATGCAATGTGATTAAAAAATTTGATAATTACTGAGTAGATAGAACAAACCTGATTACGATATCTCATTAATTGTCTTGATAATATATTTTTAATTGTAAAGAAAACTTATAGACACACTGTATAAGTGCAACAGATTATTAGAAAATTGGATGTGCAAGTAATTATTGGAAAAATACTATATTAATAAATCAGACCTTGACTTGAAAAAAATTAGTGATAGATTATATATAGGAATAGAGAGAGAGAGAGAGAGATGGGGAAGGAGAAAGAATATACGAAAAAGAGATGAAGGGTGAACTTAAACGGAAAAGAAAAGGAATATATATATATATATATATATATTCCTTTTCTATATATATATATATATATATATATATATATATATATATATATATATATATATATATATATTATTCCATTTTAAGTTTATATATATATATATATATATATATATATATATATATATATAGAGAGAGAGAGAGAGAGAGAGAGATGGGGAGGAGAGAGATATATAGAAAAAGAGGGAAGGTGAACTGAAACGGAAAAGAAAAGGAATAAAGTGTGTGTGTGTGTGTGTGTGAGAGAGAGAGAGAGGAGAGAGAGAGAGATTGGGGAGGAGAGAGAATATAGGAGAAAGAGGGGAAGGGTGATCTGAAACCGAAAAGAAAAGGAATAAAGAATGTGTGTGTGTTTTGTGTGAGAGAGAGAGAGGAGGAGAGAGATGGGGGAGGAGAGAGAATATAGGAGAAAGAGGGGAAGGGTGAACTGAAACGGAAAAGAAAAGGAATAAAGAATGTGTGTGTGTGTGTGTGAGAGAGAGAGAGAGAGAGAGAGAGAGAGAGAGAGAGAGAGAATGATGTATTTGGAAAGGAGGGAAGAAATTGAGGAGGAAGAGGTGCCAAAAAAGAAAGCAAAGATAGAGAGGGCGAGTCGGAAAGAAAACAAAAGAGGGAGTGAAAGAGAAAAAGAGATAATGCATTAAAAAAGTGAGTGTATATATGGGAAAGATTTAGGAAACATTTTTGCATTGATATCAGAGAGGGATTTAGAATAAATAATGTGAAAATAAAACTGTTTTGCCACTTCTGTTAAGAGAGCGTGAAATTTACTTAACTCGTGTCGAGTTTATGTGTTTAATTATAAATACAATATTTGGCCCATTGTTCTTTTTCTTCTTCTTCTCTTCGTGTCTCTCATTTTGCGAGCGAGACCAAGTGAAATACTCCGAGAGGAAAACAATCTCTTAGACGCCTGCAGATGTGGAAATCAGTTTTGGAAAAGGAATTAGTACAATGGTGCTATTGCTTTTGATGATATTTACTCGATAGGACTAGTTTTAGTAGAAGTTTAGGTTCTATTACTTTGTAAGATATGAAATGACAAATTCTCTACAATTGGTTATATATTAGGAAAGTCAAAATAGGTGTGCATTGCACCATTTTCAGAGGAAAAGAATGAGATAGATAGATAGATAGATAGATAGATAGATAGATAGATAGATAGATAGATGAAACGGTTCGTAAAAATAGATAGATAGGTAGATAGATAGATGAGGAGACTGGGATATATATATATATATATATATATATATATATATATATATAGAGAGAGAGAGAGAGAGAGATATGAAGCGACGTGGATAAATAGGTAGATAGTCGAGGAGACTGTTATAGATATATAGACACACATAGGTAGATTGATAGATGAAGAGACTGAGATAGATAGATAGATAGATAGATAGATAGATAGATAGATAGATAGATAGATAGATATGGAAAGGCTTAGATAGATAGATAGATAGATAGATAGATATAGATAGATAGATAGATAGATAGATAGATAGATAGATAGATGAAGCGACCTGGATAGATAGATAGATAGATAGATAGATGGATGAGGAGATATATATATATATATATATATATATATATATATAGAGAGAGAGAGAGAGAGAGAAAGAGAGATGAAGGACTAGGATAAATAGGTAGATCGTCGAGGAGACTGTTATAGATACATAGATATGAACAGTCTGAGATAGATAGATAGATAGATGAGGAGACTGATATATATATATATATATATATATATATATATATATATATATATATAGAGAGAGAGAGAGAGAGAGATGAAGCGACTAGGATAAATAGGTGGTCGAGGAGACTGTTATAGATACATAGACACTCATATGTAGATTGATAAATGAAGAGACTGGGATAGATAGATAGATAGATAGATAGATAGATAGATAGATAGATAGATAGATATGGAAAGGCTTAGATAGATAGATAGATAGATAGATAGATAGATAGATAGATAGATAGATAGATAGATAGATAGATAGATCTGAACTGACAGAGGTAAACAGAGATATCTGAACTGATAGATCAAAAGGTCGTAAGGAAAAACTTGATAGGTATGAACAGAGTCAGGAAGTTGGTGAGATAACTGTGAATAGTGACACATCCGAATGAACCGAAATGCCGATGAACAAAGGGAGCTCGGTATAATCAGGCTGAAATTTCCAGCAGAGATTGTTTGATAGATGCGAACAGACTGAGGTAGACCGACATCTTGGAATAGATTAAGATGACGGAAAAGACGCACATCGGCAATTGATAGACAGAGTGAGAACGTGTTTATTCTCACGCGAACACATAAGTAAAACGCTTGCTGCTTTATGTGCCAAGTGGACACGCATTTTTTGAAATTGCATTTGCGTTCGGTCGCTTCTACGCCGGCGCGTTGTTCGTCTATTGATTGTGTCGCAATTGTCTGCTTCAAGACGCCCTCTCTAATTTCTTGCTTCGTTACCTCTTCTCTTTTTTGGTCGACTCGATTCGGTTTGTCGAATGACGTCCGTTCTTAACATACAATATAAAAGAATTCCCCCCCACACACAACTCCTTCCTTCTTCCTTTTTGTTTTACATACGCCTTTTATTTTCCTCTTAGATCGTCTAAGATTGTGTTTGTTCTTTCTTTAACATCGGCCTTTGTGTCCGGAACTGAAACAGTTGCGAGCCTTTATTCTGGTAAGAAATTGCAGACAGAAATTTATCAAGTTTGTCCGTCGAGCGATACTTCACTTGGTCGGGAGACAAGTGTGACACAAGGTTAAGGATTTAGAGAATTCAAAGAATGGCTACTCATAGCGTAAGGTTAGCAAGAAAACCTTTAATTTGTTGCGTGACAAAGCCCAACAAAAAACTGTGCATCTATGCAATGAACGCAAACCTGATGTTGTACAGCTTTTATCAATACGTTTTATGACTAGAAGACTTTGAGAGTCCGTGCTGGTTGTTAAATAATTCGAGTTGAATTTGCGTAAATGATTTTAAAATGATCATATCCGATAAAACAAATAACAAAAGGCAAAATCTAATATCTAGCGACAGAAATTCTCTAAAGTGTGTTAATATGGAATATCCTTAAATAATTCTTTCTGATATTTCCAGGTAGATATATTTGATTGTGGCTTCAATATGAAATGTGTGAAACAATTTCTGATCTTTTCAGGTTGACACTTTTTATCGTGGCTTTAACATGAAATGTTTTAAAACAATTTCTGTTCCATTCAGGCCCATATTTTTGATCATGGATTTATTGCGACATGTTCTGAAGCATTTCGATCTGATCTTTTTAGGTGGATATGGTTGATTGTGGTTTTAGTAGGATACATTCTAAAACAACTCTTTTTAGGTAGATATATTTGTTTGTGACTTCAATATGGAATGTCCCGAAACATTTTTTTTCTGATCTTTTTATGCAGATACTTTTATTGTGACTTTAAAATGAAATGTAATGTAACAGCTCTTTATGATCTTTTAAGGAAGATTTATTTGATTACGTCTTTAATATGAAATATCCTGAAACAATTCTATCTGATCTTTTCAGATAGATATTTTAGATTGTAGGTTTTATAATTGTTGTGGTGTCCTCCCTCTAAAGAGTCTATGTTAGACTCTTCCATCCACTATAAGATTAGTAGGACAGAACGGGGAACGGTCGACCAGACTTCGAAACTGTCGAACTCTCTGCCTCGAGCAGAGAGGAACTCGAACGAGACTTTGCCGCAGGTCAAAGTTTCGTCCGAGTTGGTAGACAGGCCCGGGCCTGCTTATGCGGCTTCTACGGGAATATTTTTGGCCGAGCCTACGGGCACCGATAACCCACGGTAAACTCGGCCTTGTGCCACATACATCCCTCGTGGTTGGGCTGTTAAATATAACAGTGAATAGATGGAACGCTAGTTCATACGATACACTCTCACTAGTCGTGTAATACTCTTCTGGTGCACTTACTGTTTAATATACGATATATCTGCAAACCTAGTTTTCGTTATTACTTACTATTTACTTGATCAAAACAATAATTAATATTCTGAAGCATTTCTTGTAAGAGGATATTTTTTATCATGTCTTTAACATGCAATGTTAAAATAATTATTTCCAAAGTCTGTCGACATCTTTTCTCGTAATATCAATAAGAAATGTATAGAAACAATTACCGTAATTCCCCATGTATAATACGCCTTCATCTACAATGCACACCCCTAAAATTGTATAAATGCTCCTACTCACGCATAATACGCAATCAAACACTTTAAATTGTTTCTCTCCAATTTCGTTACGGTCAGCGTTTCCTACTCTTATGAAAAAATGGTTTCAAACATAAAATAATATTATTCTAATTTAGTTTTATGATAATTCTTATTTTACTTTACATTTCTAAGTATTGTTAGGTAAATATGATTGTATTTGACATTCTTATAGGGTCGCAATCGCCGAATGTTAGTGTCAAAATGTCGTATGTTTGTGGTGAGTAGTTATTTCGCAACTGAAATCAACTTATGAAACAGCATTTTTTAAAAAGATTTTTTGTAGCTGTGCATAATACGCACCCTTAATTTTGGTTTGGTTTGCTTTATTTTGTTTTACGGCATATCGACCTCAATGGGTTATTTAATTCCGACAACATTTTTAGGATAGATTCGTATGAATAGAATATGTATTCTTTGGTTTAGATTGGTTTGGTTTATTTTGTTTTACGGCATATCAACGTCAATGGGTTATTTAATACCGACAACATTTTTAGGATAGATTCGTATGAATAGAATATGTATTCTTTGGCTTAGATTGGTTTGGTTTATTTTGTTTTACGGCATATCAACCTCAACCTTTATTGCTGCTAATATTTTGTTTTGTCGAAAATCTGTTTCTGTTAATATTTTTCCTTCAAAATTGTATTGCTGGTAATAATTTTTTTCAAAAGCGTATTACTGGTAATAGTTAACTATTTTCCCATAGTTAGGACCCTAACAGGTACTACCACCCTGGGTCAGGGTGGATCTGGGAACACCAGCAATTAAGAGGTGGTTCCACGCTCCTCAAAACCTCCTGATCAGAGGCCCTGCTGTTGGACGTAGTTTATCGTCTTACCAAGGAGGCGGATGAAGTTTAACGCCTTACCAAGACGCTTTAATTTTGCTTATTATTTTTTAGAAAACAATGCGTGTTATACATAGGTAATTACGAAGTTTGTAGATATATTTTAGTCAGAATTCCCTTAACTACTTAAACACAGTGATTGGAGACCCATTCTTCAAGCATTGCCTTTCCTATTGCTCCACTTATACCTCCTATATTTTTCTTATATTCAAAACTTGATCGATCTTAGTGTAACAGTTCAGAATATAATCTAGATTATAGCCGATGATGTGGTTTTTCTTATTTGTTAAAGTTCTTTGTGATTATGTGACGCCAATCTATACGGTCCGATGAAGGTCTTTCTTCTTTAAGACCTCGTGGATTCATTTGCTTGAAGCCATTTTAATCAATAATCCGTAAAAACGATTGTTTGGTCATTTGGACATGCATGGCATCCACATTGGAATCTAGATTTGACGATGCTATGTAAGAATATATCATTTGGTAAGTAGTGCAGGGAGTTCGATCCTTATTAGGCCGATTGATAGCGATTGTCGTAGAGCATGATTGGCGTTTTCAGATAGATCATTACTAAATTCTCAGCTATAGGTTAAATAGTAGTGTAAACTAATCACTTCAGCTTTGAATGGTAGTCAGTCTAATAGAAGAACAACTCGGTATTAAAACCGTATGTGGTCACTGTGAAGCATATACTATGCAGCTAATGAAAGGATCGTGGTGTTCTCAATGGCCATGATCTTAAATGAGATCGGCCTTGATTGATTGATTAGTAGATGCCCCAGTGCATGGGTTCTTCTGTCAAGTTAAACTTATATATTTGAATCAAATGTCTGCTGTAAAATGATGGTCGCAGAATCTGAAGTCAAGATAGTCTACTGGGTTAGATTTTCTCTAAGTATTTACGTTTATGGTCTTGTACTTAACTAAGCGTATTAAATAGAGGCATTGACAGAGGTCGTCTGCTTCCTTCAAATCTCGAAAAAGCGTTTCTTTCTCACTTTTCTTTTCTTTTTCTTTTTCTTCACGATTTATTTCCTTTTCCCGCAAATTAATCATATTAATAAAAGAAACAGATCCGACATTTATTTTTTTGTTTATGTCTTCGTTCTGACGTTTTTTTTCATCAGTTTTAACTTTGATTTGGACTTTCCATGTTGGCGGTTATTTTTTCTTCTTCTTTATCGTCTGTGGTTAATCGTTATTTCCTTGTGTTTATTGACCTGCGACCCGCTTCCGCTGTTCAAGTAAGACGCCTTGCTTGCGAATGAAGAGCGGGAAATTATATTTTTTTTATTATTTTTATTTTTTTCAGAATAAGATATCTCATTTGCAGAGAGACAGGATTTGACTCCCGTTGCCCCAGGACCGGAGAAAGAAGGACACGTTGTTGATTCTGTAGTTTATATTTCTTTTTTTTTGTGTGTGTTTTCATTTTATTTGGCAATTTATTTTTCTTGAATTCTTTAAAAAAAAAAAAAGTCTTCATTTTAGCATCCGCAGTTTAGCGAGATTGAGAAAAGAGTCTGACCGCGAATGAAATGGAAAAAAAGACAGAAAAGCAGACATATATCGGGAATGAAGGTTGAGAAACTGGTAAAAGACAATCTAAATGTGTATATAAAATATTGGGTTTAAGAAGGAGAGCGAGGTACTGATGGATGGATTCACTGATTATATATAAATTCATCTGATTTTCAAATACCATTGATATGGGGATAATGAGAAAGGCAGAGATAACAAAGTGCGATAGATAGATAGAAAGATAGATAGATAGATAGATAGATAGATAGATAGATAGATAGATAGATAGATAATGAAGAGACCGAGATAGATAGATAGACAGATAGATGGATAGATAGAGAGATAGATAGATACATAGATAGATAATGAAGAGACTGAGATAGATAGATAGATAGATAGATAGATAGATAGATAGATAGATAGATAGATAGATAGATAGATAGATAGGAACAGACTTGGATATATAGATAGATAGATAGATAGATAGATAGATAGATAGATAGATAGATAATGAAGAGACTGAGATAGATAGATAGATAGATGGATAGGAACAGACTTGGACAGACAGATAGATAGATAGATAGATAGATAGATATAGATAGATAGATAGATAGATAATGAAGAGACCGAGATAGATAGATAGATAGATAGATAATTAAGAGACTGAGATAGATAGATAGATAGATAGATAGATAGATGGATAGATAGATATATGAAGAGACTGAGATAGATGGATAGATAGATAGATAGATAGATAGATAGATAGATAGATAGATAGATGGGACAGATAGATAGATAGATAGATAGATAGATAGATAGATAGATAGATAATGAAGAGACCGAGATAGATAGATAGATAGATAGACAGATAGATGGATACATAGACAGATAGATAGATACATAGATAGATAATGAAGAGACTGAGATAGATAGATAGATAGATAGATAGATAGATAGATAGATAGATAGATAGATAGATAGATAGATAGATAGATAGGAACAGACTTGGATAGATAGATAGATAGATAATGAAGAGACTGAGATAGATAGATAGACAAATAGATAGCGAGAGAGAGATACTAATGGAGAGAGAGAGAGAGAGAGATGAACAGAGAGGGATAGACAGAGAAGAAGAGCTTGATATCAGTATTAAAATTATAAGTAAAATAGTCGATAATAAGCCCATATCCTCCTGGTGTCAGTTTAAACTGACGTATTCTTTTCTTACATATATTGTCGCTATTTTGCCTAAAGTTTGCATTTTCATGATTTTAAATGAAAAGAACAAATTTCAGTGAAATTTCGCTTTTCAAAATTGGGTTTAGTAAGGAGAGCAACGTGCTGATAGATGGATTCACTGATTATATATGTATTGATTTGATTTTGTTCAAATACCATTGATATTGGGATGGTGAGAAAGACAGAGATCACAAAGTGCGAGAGAGGGAGAGAGAGAGAGAGAGAGAGAGAGAGTGTCTGGAGGAGATGAACAGAGAGGAATAGACAGAGAAGAAGAGCGTGAGTATCAGTATTAAAATTATAAGTAAAATAGTCAATAATTTTCCTTTTGGTGTCAGTTTAAACTGATGCGTTCTTTTCTTCCATATATTGTCGCCATTTTGCCTAAACTTTGCCTTTTTTCATTTCAGATGGAAACAACAAATTTCAGTGACATTTCGCTTTCCAAAATTGCAGTTTATAATTAAAATTATGGACAAAAAAAAAAAAAAAACGTGTCATTTTAAACTGATGACAGGATGATATGGGTTAAAATAAAGTAATATCAAAGCGCAATATATGATCTAAATGTTACATAGTGAGCAAAACCCAGTAGAAAGAGAGAATCAAATAAATATGATAAAGAGAAAGAAAGAAAGACCCAATTGAAGAACGATGAAAAGAAAGAAAGTATCAAATAAAAATGATACAGAAAAAGATAAATAACCAAATTTAGATTTTTTTTAAAGTATTAATAACCCAAATTCTGGCGTCAATTTAAACTGACGCCTTCCTTTTTTTTTTCTTTATAGTGTAACCATTTTGATCGAAGTTCGTATTTTCTTGATTTCAGGGGAAACCTGAGAATATTTCGAACATATTTCAGTGAAATATCCTCTTTTCAAAATGAGGGATTATAATTATAGTTTGATATATGGGGGAAAAAATAAGCGTCAGCTCAAACTAACGCCATGAGGATACGCATTAAAAATAAAATAATCTTTTCTGTGCAATATATGCACTCATGTCTTATACGACAGATAAATGACACTTATGCCAATTTTATTAATGAAGCTACTTTGAATGAAGGGGATTCTTTAAACCCTAATCTGACAGACGCAATTTTCACTTTCAATTTCTCCGTCGTATTGTGGAATGACATAGAAGTGGCAGCATTAGTATTGCTAAAAGAATCCATTGTTGCACGTATTTTATTTTTAAAGATGGCCGAATCGATTGGCTGAAACTTTGGATAAAACCTAGTGGAGAAAATAGTAATATTATGCGGGATTCTTATTTGAAGTATTAAGAACGATTGGTTGCTCTTGTTGAAAATAGGATGGGTACAATAATAATAATACTCGGGAACAAAAAGACAAAATGCAGTAAATATATTTGAATAGACGTATCAATAAACAGAGACAGAGATCGATAGAGAGAGAGAGAGAGAGAGAAAGAGAGAGAAGGAAAAGAGAGAGAGACATTTGTTAAGACAAGCAGAACTATAAAATTGAGTTGCAAAAATTGCTATTCAATCGCAAGAGTGTTCAAATTTCTCTTACAGTTTAACTTTCCGTTGGATATTCATCAATATATACATATATATATATATATATATATATATATATATATATATATATATATATATACCTAGTGAGCCAGACAAACCTACCCAGGTTTCACCTAAGTGGATCGTCAGGGAAAGCTGGATATAATGGATATATATATATATATTTAATTAATTCATTGAGTCTGATAGAAACCTCAACAGGAATAGAGGAAGCACTGGACGGCCGTTTCGTCCTATATTTGGGACTCATCAGCAGTGCGCACCCACCACCGAGTATCGAAACCCAGACAGTTAGGTTGTCAAGCGAACAACATACCAACTGTACCAAATGGTCCTCGGAAGAGATTCCAAATCAGACTCAACTTAGCGCCGCTCGCTCACATATTCCGTGGCGGAACTCGACTGAGTTCTCTGTAACCATAGGACTGTGCCCCCGGGAGCTACGACTACTCTCACAAAGCCGCGCCAACTGGAGCATTAGAAGCCGGTTCAAGCGATGATAAACACAGATAGTAATTAGTAGGAGGATTTGATAATTATATTTAATTAATTCATTGAGTCTGATAGAAACGGCCGTCCAGTGCTTCCTCTATTCCTGTTGAGGTTTCTATCAGACTCAATGAATTAATTAAATATAATTATCAAATCCTCCTACTAATTTATATATATATAATGGATATATATATATATATATATATATATATATATATATATATATATATATATATATATATATGGATCCTCCTGTCGTAGTCGACGTATGAGGATCAAGCGGCTCAGTTCCTAGGAAACCGATCGCCCAGACACCAGCACATATGATTTGATTATAGTGGTGAAGGCTTTGTGGAGAACCAACCACACTTTTTGAATACAGAGACCTGGTGCATTATGTGCTACAAGGTCCCCAAACGACCCTCAACAGGTTTTGAATTCAGAGTTGTCCTTCTCCTACATAAGTTGCCATCCAAGGTTATAGAACCCAGTCTGTCCATCTCTTTACCTATAGCTGGAGAAGAAGAGGATGGATTTATACATTTCCCCCAAGGGTATTAGCACGTAAGTGAATGCAATGGATTCGACTGGAATTCAAACTCGGCTCTCCGATTCCTCAAACTGAGCCACTATCCACTAATCCAATGTGCCTCTTTCTCTTCCCCTCTCTCTCTCTCTCTCTCTCTCTCTCTCTCTCTCTCTCTATATATATATATATATATATATATATATATATATATATATATTGGTGGAAGATACATGATAAAGTGTAAAAAGATTTCATAAGATTAAGTGTGTTTATGTTGGTACGATAATAAAGGCGAACGAACGAGAAATGCTGACAGTCTTAAATTTAAACTTTTTTTGTAATTAAAAGAGGAAACAATTCACTTAAGGCCTGGTTCACATCAGTATTATTAACCGTTGAGACCTGGTCGACATCACTATCATTAATCGTTGAGGTCTGGTTCAAGCCAAAATTATTAATCGTTGAGACCGGGTCCACATCACTATTATTAATCGTTGAGACCTGGTCCACATCACTATCATTAATCGATGAAGCCTGGTTCAACCCACTATTATTAAACGTTGAGACCTGGTCCACACCACTATCATTAATCGTTGAGGCCTGGTTCAAGCCACTATTATTAAACGTTGAGACCTGATCCACATCACTATCATTAATCGTTGAGACCTGGTCCACACCACTATTATTAATCGTTGAAGCCTGGTCCACGTCACTATCATTAATCGTTGAGGCCTGGTTCAAGCCACTATTATTAATCGTTTAGACCTGGTTCACACCAATATCATTAATCGTTGAGGTCTGGTTCAAGCCACTATCAATAATCATTGATACCTGGTCCACATTACTATTATTAATCTTTGAGACCTGGACCATATCACTATCATTAATAGTTGAAGTCTGGTTCAAGCCACTATTATTAATCTTTGAGACCTGGTCTACATCACTATTATTAATTGTTTAAACTTGGTCCACATCACTATCATTAATCGTCCCCGCCTGGCCCACATCACTATTATTAATCGTTAAAGCCTGGTGCACATCACTATTATTAATCGTTGAGGCCTGGTTCAAGCCACTATTATTAATCGCTGAGACCTGGTCCACATCACTATCATTAATCGTTGAGGCCTGGCTCAAGCCACTATTATTAACCACTGAAACCTGTTTCACATCATTATCATTAATCGTTGAGGTCTGGTTCTAGCCACTATTATTAATCGTTGAGATATGGTCCACATCAATATTATTAATCGTTGAGGCCTGAGCCACATCACTATTATTAATCGTTGTGGTCTGGTCTACGCCACTATCATTAATAGTTGACGTTTTGTCGACATCACTATAATTAATCGTTCAGGCCTGGCCCACATGACTATTATTAATTGTTGAGACCTGGTTCCCACCATTATTATTAATCGTTGACGTTTTGTTCACGTCTCTGTTATTTATCGCCGTTGGCTGATCTACATCACTATTATTAATCGGTGAGGCCTGGTTCACATCACGATTATTAATCTTTGAGGTCTGGTCAATGCCACTATTATAAATCGTTGAAGCCTGATCTGCACATTGTTATTTATTGTTCAGGCAAGGCCCACACAACTAATATAACTATTTACTTAGTATATATGTATAACATCAATCAGCGATGTGACAGATATAAACGGATAGATATGTGTGAGTTTATGTGTGTGTTAGTGCCTATGCGTGTGAAGAGGAGGAGGGAAAAAGAGAGAGACAGAAAGTGAGAGAGAGAGTTGTTTATGTTAGTGAGCGTGAATCAAGGGAAATAGGAGAAAGACGCGCGCTGAGCGAGTCGAAGCAAACGAGTGCGTATGTTTATCGACCGCGACCCCGGAAGTAAATACAACTCACATGCGCGTTCAGAGCCTCCGGTAATTGAAAATCAACATGGAGTCGTATGGTATGCTCAAACACAAACGCAAGATGTGTTTGATATGTTTAGATTAACGCCATGAGGAATAAATGGATATATGTCTGTCAGTGCAAATGTACGTTTGTTTCCGCGGGCGGGTAGAGACCAAAAAAGAGAGAGAGAGAGAGAGAGAGAGAGAGAGAGAGAGAGAGAGAGAGAGAGAGAGAGAGAGACCAGATCGAGAGAGAGAGAGAGAGAGACCAGATCGAGAGAGAGAGAGAGAGAGAGAGGGGGGTTGTATGTGGTAAGAAAGGGTGAGTATAACATAAATATTTAAGCTGAGAGAGAGAAAGAGAGAGAGAGAGAGACGCATCAATAAACAGAGAGAGAGGGAGAGAGAGAGAGACCAGAGCGAGAGAGACCAGAGCGAGAGAGACCAGAGCGAGACTGAAGAAAATACGGAAGGATGAACCTGTCAAGGTATGAAAGATAGTCTTAGTCTTAAAAAGAGACAAAATGACTCCAAGAGAAAGGGGGGGGAGAATGAAATAAAGAGAGAAACTGAGAAAGAAAGATTGATAGAATGAGACAAGTAAGAAAAGAAAGGAAGAAGAATTTGGTATAAGAAAGAGATAAAATTATTCAAAGAGAGTTAAAGGAATAAGGAGAGAGAAAGAGAAAGAGAGAGATTGCAAGAGTGAAATGAGAAAAAAAGGAAGAAAGGCAGTCTCAGTATGAAAAAGAGATGAAATGATTCAAAGAGTGAGCGAGAGAGAAAGAGAGAGAGAGAGAAAGATAGAGATAGATAAAGAAATACAATGAGAAAGAGAGATTGAGATAGTGAGAAAGACAAAAAGGAAAGGACGAAAGTTTTGTTATAAGTCAGAGATAAAGGATTCAAGAAGAGAGAGAAAGAGAGAAAGAGAGACAGAGAGAAAGAGAGAGAGAGAGAAATAGAGAGAGATAAAGAGATACAATGAGAAAGAGAGATTGAGATAGTGAGAAAGACAAAAAGGAAAGGACGAAAGTTTTGTTATAAGTCAGAGATAAAGGATTCAAGAAGAGAGAGAAAGAGAGAAAGAGAGATAGAGAGAAAGAGAGAGAGAGTGAGAAAGAGAGAGAGATAAAGAGATACAATGAGAAAGAGAGATTGAGATAGTGAGAAAGACAAAAAGGAAAGGACGAAAGTTTTGTTATAAGTCAGAGATAAAGGATTCAAGAAGAGAGAGAAAGAGAGAAAGAGAGAGAAAGAGAGAGAGAGAGAAAGAGAGAGAGAGATTGAGATAGTGAGAAAGACAAAAAGGAAAGGACGAACGTTTTGTTATAAGTCAGAGATAAAGGATTCAAGAAGAGAGAGAAAGAGAGAAAGAGAGAGAGAGAGCGAAAGAGAGAGAGAAAGAGAGAGAGAGAGAAATAGAGAGGGAGGGGATGATAAGGAGACAAATTGAAAAAGAGAAAGAGAAATTGAGAGAATGAAACAAGAATGGAAAGAAGAAAGTCTTCGTATAAAATGATTCAAGGAAAGAGATAGAGATAGAGAAAATAGAAAGGGAGTGGAAGAGGAAGTGCGGAAGAGAGAGTGAGACAAGAAAGAAACGAAGGAAAGAAAGACAGTCTTAGAAAGATGAGATGAGTCCCAAAGAGAGAGAGAGAGAGAGAGAGAGAGAGAGAGAGACAGACAGAGAGACAGAGAGAGAGAGAGAGAGAGACAGAGAGATAGATAGGAAAGTGATGATGATGATGATGATATACAACCTGTTATATATAGATAGATAGATTGATAGATAGATAATGATATACAACATATATATATATATATATATATATATATATATATATATATATATATATATATATATATATATATATCTTACTTATTATAAAACGCAGATTGTGTGTGTGTGTGTGTGTGTGTAACATTTATATATTGGATCGGATTTCCTACATTTTTCAACTGATTTCAACAAAAAACTTCACAGGACTACATAAAATTACCTTGTGGTGGTTCTAACAGCGC